GGTACACCTCAGTTTGCAAATGTCCTCTATCAGAGACTGAGACCTCACAGTCCAAGAAAGCCAACCTGCCATTTTTTACATCTTCTCGTGTGAACTTGATGTATTTATCCACAGAGTTGATGTGGTCAGTAAAATGTTGGACTTCCTGAGATTTGATTTTAACCCAGGTGTCGTCAACATACCTGAACCAATGACTTGGTGGTGTCCCTGAAAAGGACGTCAAGGCTCTCTTTTCTACCTCCTCCATGTACAGGTTGGCAACAATAGGAGAAACTGGAGACCCCATAGCACACCCATGTTTCTGCCTATAATATTGCTCCCCATATGTGAAGTAGGTTGACTGCAGGCACAGTTTCAAGAGTTGACACAGTTGTTCTGTGGAAAGCGTGGTCCTGCTGCTCAGAGTGGTGTCTGATTTTAATCTTAACCTGACCACCTCTACTGCATCATCAACAGGAATGCACGTAAAGAGTGATGTGACATCAAAAGAGACCATTGTTTCATCAGTCTCCATGATGACATCCCTCACCTTGTCCACAAAGTCCATGGTGTTCTGTATGTGGTGTTCTGAGCTGCCAACTAAAGGGATGAGTACAGACGCCAGATATTTGGAAACATTGTAAGTGACAGAGTTAATTATACTAACGATTGGTCTTAAAGGTACACCTTGTTTGTGGATTTTAGGTAAACCATACAGACTGGGTGTGGCCTCCCCTGGGTACAGTCTGTGGTACAGAATACAGTCAATAGCCTTGTCCTGCTCCAAAATTTTCAGGCAATCTATCAATGTCTTCTTGTAACCACTTCCTGGATCTCTTTTCAGAGGTTCATAAGTGTTTACGTCACTAAGGAGTGTCATAACTTTCTCATGATAGTCTTTCTGGTTCAAAATCACTGTGCACCTTCCTTTGTCTGCTGGGAGAATGATGATGTTTTTGTCCTTGCTAAGAGTGGTGAGTGCATCCCTCTCCTCTCTACTGATGTTGGAAGGTGGTGGTTTGGCATTGCTGAGGCAGGATGAAACTTTGGGTCTGAGCTGTTCTGCTTCACCCTCTTTCATTTTGTTGTTGCGGATGGCTGACTCAGTAGCTGTGATCATCTCCACCAGAGGAATTCTACTTGGTGCAACCGCAAAGTTCAGTCCCCTGGCAAGAATCTCTGTCTCAGGCTGGGTGAGCTGTCTGTCAGATAAATTCTTCACCCACTTTTCTGTCTCCCTGGCATGTAATTGACTACTGGAGTGTTGTCTTACACCAAATGTGTTGTTATTGGAATTGTGATGGTGTTGATAGATTATTAGTAAGTTAAACTTGTTTTGTTGTCGAGTCTTGGACTTGACATGCTGTGCTAAGCGTGCCTGATCTGTACAGTCCAACACTTGCTGAAGTGTGGTCTGATCTAGACACGTTGTTAGTTTTTGTTTAATGTGCTCTTCTTTGGCCTTCAAGGCCTCAATAGTAAAATTGAGGCCTTGAAGTTAAGTTAAAATCTTCAACACTAATATATATATATATATATATATATATATATATTTTTTTTTTTTTTTTTAATTTATTTATTTATTTTTTTTTATGACCAGCTCTGCTGGTCTCACACGATCCTCTCCTCCGGAGACAGGACAAGCAGGCTCATCTTCCCAGCTCCAGCTCAGCTGGTGACTCACAGAGGCCATTCCAAGACTCCAGCCACGCGTAATCATGAAGGCCCGACCCGCGCAGACAGGCGGACAGAGACGGGTCTGCGACGAACGGTGGAAGTGATTTTAAAAAACATTTTACGTGTAAAAAAATAATAGCAATTTTTAAATCGCTTCAGCAATTTTTTAAAACATTTTTTGTATAAAAACAAAATATTATTTTATTTAAAAATCGCTTCCACCGTCCGTCCCAGACTGTCCAGTCCGCCTGACTGCCGGGCGGGATCGGGATTCAGCCTTCATGATTACGCGTGGCCGAGGTCTCGCAACGACCATCTGCGAGTCCCCATCTCCAGCTTCACAGTGGCCAGCGGAGCTCTGAGCACACAAGGCTGGTATCCGGAACCTGAGCCTCCGAGTCGGCACATCAAAGGATCTTCCACGGTGACCAGCGGAACTCGGAGCCGGGGAGATGACGCCCTGCCCGGCCTGGCGCTCCGAGGCTCCGGGGGGAGGACCGGGGTACACCAGCAGAGCTCCATCCAGCTTGCTCTGAATTATGTCGTCGGCCACCAAGCACAAAAAACGCCAGCACGTCAGCATTAGACCAAGATGTTGTCAGTATTGTTTTTAAAATCTTTAAAATAAGTCCAGCCGCTGCTCCAGTCTGAGAAATTGCAAACGGCGGATCATTGTTTTGAAAAGTTTCTGAAGGATCCAGTGACTCTGGCCCCGACTCCGCCCCCGACCAATCAGTGACCGACAGTGTTCTGACATCACGTTTTAGTACCTCTTCGTTCAGGTTAGAACCACAGAGCCAAGGGTACTGAAAATAGTAACAGGTGCTAAGTACCGGTACTAATGGAAAAGCCTCAGAACCGGGCCAAGTAGGGTACAGTCGGCCCGTACCGGTACTAATGGAAAAGGGGCATAACAATACTGTGATTGCTAGTATCACTCAGCCTCCTGTGAATAGTAAACAGCCATCAGTGTGCTAATGATCCATCGTTAGGCTGATGGTCCTTCTTGATTATGTGAGAAGCTGGTTTTGGTTGTCAGCAGCAAAACTGGTTGATCCACTCTGAGAAGGTGCTATTTAAGAGACTGAGCTGAATACAGCACCTCAAGCTGAGGAAGTCTCTTGGATGAAAGACGAAACGTTTCTACATTTTTTTTTGTTTGTTTTGCTTTGTTTTGTTTTGCTTTTTGTATGTCCAGAGGACCAGATTTAACTTTTGAGGATTTTTCTACCTGGATTATTGAGCATGCATCAGGACAAACTGAGATTAATTCGACACACGCGTGAATTTATTTTTGTCCTCTGTGTGAAGGCGATCAGCTGCTGAGTGCTAAAGTCTTCTTCGACAATGTGAAGTACGAAGACGCTCTCAGGATCCTTCAGTGTGCAGAGCCCTACAAGGTCAGCTTCCAGCTGAAGAGGACCGTCCCTAAAGACGAGGTCAGCGTGCGACCAAGAGTGCCAAGTGTGGAGGTCAAAAACCCCAAAGTCAAGATAGCCAAAATGGTAATCAATATTTTACGTATTTATGACATTAAACCATACTTGAAGTTAACGTTTCATTGATTTTCCAGTGAACTAGAACATGTTGACTTTTTAAGGTGATTTCTTTTTTGCAGTGTGATGACTTTGTCTTGCTTTTGTTGTTTTTATTTATTTGTCTGGGTTGTGCTCTTATGAACAATTTGTGGGATTTTTTTAAAATAAAATTTTCCTTAAAATTCTGACTGCTCCCTGAAAGCGTCTCTGGTTCACGTGGATAAGTTCAAGAGTTTGCTCACAAGTGATGACAGGATGGAGCAAGAGATAGACCACAGAATAAGGTCCTCGTCTGCAGTAACGAGTGTGTTGATCTGGTCTGTCATGGTGAAAAGTGTTGAGTCAAAAGGCAAAGCTTTCAATTTACTGGTCTGTCTTCTCATGTCTGAATGGATGTCTAAAAGAATGAAACCCTAGATACAAACAGCTGAAATAAGCTTCCACTGTAGGGTGGCCATGATCAGCCTTAGAAATAGGGACAAGGACCTCCATCATTTGGGGGAGCTCGGAGTAGAACTGCTGCTTCTCTGCATCAAAAAGGGTCAATGGAAGTGATTCAGGCATTTGGTTTAGGATGTCTCCTGGACACCTTCCTTTAGTGGTTTTTCAGACACATCCCAATGGGAAGAGACTCTGTGAAAGACTCAGGACTTGCTGGATAAATCGTGTATCCTTTCTGGACTGAGAACACCTTGGGATCCACAATGAGGAGGTGGAGAGTGTCACTGGGCTATGGGTGTCTGGGTTTTTCTCCTGGACCTGTTGCCTCCATCACCCAACCAGGATAGGTGATAGAAGATGGATACATAGAATTAAAAGTCAGATATGCAAAAATTAACATGTATTCACCATCAGAATCCCAAAACAGGACTAGTCACCTTTCTTTAAATGTTGTTGACTGACCATTAAAATGTTTACTGTTCATGTGTTTCTGTTGTAGAGTGTGAAGGGCACGAAGCCATTCAAGGCCCTTAAGAAAAGAGGTGGTCGTTTTGGTCTGAAGAGGTTGAAAGAGAAGCAGAGAGAAGAGCTGGTAATTGAAGGAACTCCTCCACGACTGGAAATGGGTGACGTGGATGTGGATATCTCACTTCCAAAAATCAAACAGAGGAAGAGCAGGACGTCCGAAGAAGAAGACGTCCGAGGAACAGCAAGCGTAGCGAAAGCAAAAAAAGGGATCAGGTTGGTCTTCTTTGGGTTCTGTCTCTTTTAATTTCTAAAGCTGCCTTCTAAATAAAAATATACCATTTAATGTTTACAGTATTGTTTTTGTGTCTTTTACTGCTCTAGATTTCCTCGCATGAAAGTCAAGAAATACACAAGAGCAAAGACAGAAGGGAAAGTGGAAACAGGGCAGCTAGAAGGACATGTAAACATCCCTCCATCCAAAATGCCTGAAGCTAAAGGGAAAACCAAAGGAAAAGGACACAAGTTTGGGATGACATTCCCTAAAACTAAACACATAAAGTCAGATCCTTATTTAGAAAGTGGATCGGTGGAGCTGAAGCCTCCAGATGTAAGCCTCCAGACACCATCTGTGGAGTTCAGTGTGTCACCCAGTAAAGACAAGGATGTGGAGAAGAGAGGCTTAAAGTTTAATCCCCCAAATGTAGAGTTTGCACTCCCGTTAGCAAAACCTGAGGTGTCCTTGCCAAAAGTGAAGGGATCAGCAGGAATTAAAGCTCCCAAAGTTGATGTAAAAGGAGAAGCCAATGCAGCTGAAGGGAAGATTAACGTGGAAGGCGGCATGGGAGATACAAAACTCAGAATGCCTAAATTGAAGCTTCCCAAAGTTAGATTGTCACGTCATTCGGAAGAGATTGATGGTGAAATAAAGGTAAAGACTGAGGGGATGAAAATACCTCATGTTGATGTAAAAACAAAAGGAGATGGTGAGATTAGGCTTCCTGAAACACATCTAACCAAACCAAAAGGAAAAGGTGAAGTTGGTTCTTTTGAACGTCCATCGGTTGATGCTTCTTTGCCCAAAGTTAAGTTTGGCACTGATGGTTCTCTTCAAGGTCATGAAAGAGCAGTGAAGACAGAAGTGAAGATGCCTACCATTGATATCTCTGTGCCAGAGGTGGATCTGGAATTTGATACAGGACAAAGGCTTCCAGATGAAGTGGAGGGCACCATAAAAGGAGCTAAAATCTCCATGCCAAAGGTTGACATCTCTTTACCAAAAATGGGATCTCCTGATACAGATATTAAATGTCCAGATGGAGAAGGAGAGTTTAGTGTACCTTCTGTTGACATCTCTGTCCCAATGGTGAAATCAGATGTGGATATGGATTATTACGTTGGGGGAGATGGAAAGTTCAAAATGCCTGAATTTGACATAACTCTCCCAAAACTAAAGCCATCAGAGCAAGAAGTAGAAGGGGGTTTCAAGTTACCCAAAGTGGACATAATTCTTCCCAAATACCAAAGTGATCATGAAGGAGAAGGAACGTTTCAGTTACCATCGATTGAGATGGAAGTCGACACTAAAGGTGTTAAATTCCAAAAACCTGTCATTTCACTGCCTAAACATAAAATAAAGGGAGATGTTGAAATGGATGAAGGTGCTGAAAAGGGTGGAGAGTTCAAAATGCCTTTAGTCAACATCACCCTACCTGAGATTGGAACAGGTGGGGCTGAAGTTGATTTACAAAAACACAAGATTCAGGGAGAGAAAATTAAAGTGTCATCAGTAGACATTTCTCTTCCAAATCCCAAAGGTGAGGTCAATTTTGGGGGAAAAATCAAAGGAGGTGTGAATATTCAAGGACCAAAAGTCAAAGGTGGGAAGTTCGAAACGCCCAAAATTGATCTCTCACTTCCTAAAGGAAAAGAACATGGAAATAGTGGTATTGACATTCACTCTGGAATAGATAGGAACATTGATGTACCCTATTGTGATATTGGAGTTGAAGGTCCTGAAGGTAAAACAGGAAAATTCAAAATGCCCAAAGTTAACATCATTCTTCCAAAACTGCCAGAGGGTGAAGCCAAAATTGAAAGTCCAGAAGACAAAGGGAAAATTGAAATGCCAACTACTGATATTTCTCTTCCTAAACAAAAACAAGAGGGGGATCTTAACATTGATACCAAAGGAGCCACAATTCAAATGCCTTCTTCCAACATTAATCTTCCCAAGATAAAATCCAAGGAAGCAAGTACTGATGTAAAGGGACATAAAGGAGAGTTCAAAATGCTGTCATTGGATATTTCAGGACCTAAGATTAAATCTCCAGAGGTAGATGTCAAACTTCAGGGTTCAGATGTAGATATTTCACTTCCAACACCAAAAGGGGACGTTGACATCAGTTTTGAAGGTCCTGATGGGAAAGATAGAACATTAAAAATACCAACAGTTGATGTTTTATTGCCAAAGGTAAATGTTCCTGAGGGTGAAGTCACAATAAAAGGACCTGAACTAAAAGGCAGGAAGATTGAGCTACCTGACATTGATATTTCACTGCCAAAAGGAAAATTAGATGGCGAGGCTGATGGACATGGTAGTAAAGGTGGAAAGTTCCACATGCCTTCTGTGGATTTCTCTTTACCTAAGATTAAAACTAAAAGAAGAGAGGTCAACATAAAAGGTCCAGAAATTAAAGACGGAAGTATCAACATGCCTGAAGTTGATGTTTCACCTCCAGAAGGAAAGGCTGAAGTTGAAATAAATGTTGAAGGCCCTGGTGTGAAAGGAGGAAAATTTAAGATGCCAAAGTTTGATTATTCCCTACTAAAGGGTGATGTATCTCCTTCTAAAATAAAGGCTCCAGAGGTAGACGTCAACCTGAAGGGCCCTGAGATTGGAGGGCCCCAGGTTGACTTACCATCTGTTGATATTTCACTCCCCAAAGGAAAAGTTGAGGGCAACTTTGATGTTGAGGGTCCTGAAGTCAGGGGTGGTAAGATTAAGATGCCTAAAATTGATATGTCCTTACAAAAGGATAACCTCCCAGAAGGTGATTTGAAGATAAAAGACCAAGACATAAAAACAGGGAAGATTACAATACCAGATATTGATATGTCCCTTCTCAAAGGAAACATAGGTGGAGAAATTGAAGCTGAAGGACATGTTGCCAATAGAGGGAAATTCCACATGCCCTCAATTGACGTAACTCTTCCTAAAATGAAATCAAAGCCACATGACATAGATGTTGAGGTTCCTCAAGTCCAAGGAGCCCAGGTTGACTTACCATCTGTTGATATTTCACTCCCCAAAGGAAAAGTTAGGGGCGACTTGGATGTTGAGGGTCCTAAAGTGAAGGGTGGAAAGTTTAAGATGGCAAAAAATGATGAGTCTTTACCAAAGGTTAACCTCCCAGAAGGTGATTTGTCGATTAAAGGCCCAGGCATTAAAGCAGGAAAGATTACAATGCCAGATATTGATTTGTCACTTCCAAAAGGAAAAGTAAAAAGTAGAATTGAAGCTGAAGGACATGGTGCCAAAGGAGGAACACTCCACATGCCCTCAATTGACATAACTCTTCCTAAAATGAAGACTAAGGGACCTGACATCAATGTTCAGGGTCCTGAGATTGAAGGGTTTGACATAAACATGCCTTCTCTTGATGTTTCTCTACCTAAAATAAAGTCACCAGAGCTAGATATCAATTTTGAAGGACCAGATTTAAAAGGAGAAACTGTCAAAATCCCAAGGGTTGATGTTTCACTTCCCAAAGGTACAATAGAGGGTGGCATAAATGTTGAAGGCCCTGATGTAAAAGGAGGAAAATTCAAGATGCCAAAGTTTGATGTTTCTCTACCACATGTGAGTGTACCAAAACTTGAAGGACCAGACATAAAAGGAAAAATTGAAATGCCAACTG